TGCTGACCCAAACATCAGTTTATTGACCTTCTAGAAAACCCCCTGTAGGTGGCAAGGGGAATGTCTTTACTAGGAAAAACCTACAGTTAATGAATCAAAAGCCTGTTGACAGAGTGATTATGATTGATGGACCTGCCTCTCAACCATACAATTTTCCCCATTTTTGGTGTTAACCAACTATGAAATTATAATGCCTCCTTCTATTTAGTTCCCTCCTAAGACTATGAAAATAGCTAGCACCTTAGGGGAGGGGTCCAGGATTGGGAGGAAGATTTTGGACCCAATTACTTAGGGACTCCCAGACTTCCTAATAAATTAAAAAGACTTTAAAAGTGTCACTCTCCTTTTGTTACATTTGGATTGGGATTTGAAGATCACATAGTACAATATGATTTAATATATTATAACCCAGTATGATAATTGCATGATAGGATGTCATGTTATGAGATGATATATGATGATGAGACATGATAGACAACTATGCAATGTGATGTAATATAGTGTGATATAAAGTAATGTACAGTAATATGATATAACAGATTAGTAATATAATACAACTTATTTTAAAACAATACAGTATAATGTACTGTAAAGTAATATAAGATAAATTAGATTTTTCTAATCTATAGCTATGACAATTCATGTTTATAATTTGATCCACTTATTTCTAATATTATTTTCTTTTATGACTTTTTGTTGTGGTGGTGGTTTAGTTGATTACTTGTCTCCAAGGCTTCATGACCTCCTTTGCGGTTTTCTTAGAAAAAATAGTGAAGTGGTTTTCCTTATACTTCTTCAGCTCATGTAATAGATGAGAAAGCTGAGGCAAACATGGTTAAGTGATTTGGGTCCTATACCTACTAAATATCTGTAGGTAGATTTGAACTCAGATCCTCCTGATGGGAAGGCAAATATTCTACCAAGAATTAGGATTCTTCTTTCTCTCTTTACCTATATCTCTTTTAAAAAAATAGCAATTTGGTCTTTCAGTTGTTTTTGCTTATAAAAGTTAAGGCAACCTTGTTCACATAGTTTCCTTTCCCTTTTCTTTCAAAATCCACTTTCTCACCCTTTACAACAATTTGGTGTTTTATTCATTTATTCATTTTTCTTTCTCCCATTTATCTAGTTATCCAAATTTTCCCTCTTTGTTTACCTCATTCTGTTAAGGATTTAAATAAAATACACATAATTCTTATTTCCTTCAACTCATTCTTTGTTATTTTTATCATTTTTTTCTTTTTTAATGTTATTAATTTATGTTGATTTATCAACAACAACTAACATAAGCTTTTGAGTTGTAGATTTTTCTCCCCCTCTCTCCCCACCACCCTCCACAAGACCATGAGCAATCTGACATAGGTTATACATACACATTCCCATTAAACATATTTCACATTAGTCATATTGTAAGTAAGAATTAGAACCAATAGGAGGAACCATCAGAAAGAGAAAACAAAACACAACAGAAGAAAAAAATAGCAAATAGTATGCTTCGATCTCCATTCAAACTCCATAATAGTTCTTTCTTTGGATGTGGATAGCATTTTCCATCATGAGGCCTTTGGGGATCTCTGAGATCCTTACATTGCTGAGAAGGGTTAAGTTCATCAATATTAGTCATCACACAATGTGGCTGTTGCTGTGTACAATGTTCTCCTGGTTCTGCTCACTTCACTCAGCATCAGACCTTACAAGTCTTTCCAGGTTTTTCTGAAATTTGCCTGCTCATCATTTCTTATAGCACAATAGTATTCCATTACATTCATATATCACAACTTGTTCAGCCATTCCCCAATTGATGAGCATCCTCTCAATTTCCAATTCTTTGCCACCATAAAAAGAGCTGCTACAAATACTTTTTTACATGTGGGTCTTTTTCCCATTTGTATGATCTCTTTGGGATACAGCCCTAGAAGTACTATTGCTGGGTCAAAGAGTATGCACACTGTTATAAGCCCTTTGGGCATAGCTCCAAATTGCTCTCCAAAATGGTTGGATCATTTGACAACTCCACCAACAATATATTAGTGTTCCAATTTTCCCACATCTTCTCCAACATTTATCATTTTCCTGTTTTGTCATGTTGGCCAATCTGATGTGTGTGACATGGTACCTCAGAATTGTTTTGATTTGCATTTCTCTAATCAATGGTGATTTAGAAAATTTTTTCATGTAACTACAAATGGCTTTAATTTCTTCATCTGAGAACTGCCTGTTCATATCCTTTGACCATTTATCAATTGGGAATGACTTGTATTCTTATAAATTTGACTTAACTTTCTATATATTTCAGAAATAAGACCCTTATCAGAGACACTGTTTGTAAAAATTCTTTCCAAATTTTCTACTTTCCTTCTAATCTTGGTTACATTGACTTTGTTTGTGCAAAAACTTTTCAATTTAATGTAATCAACGTTATCCATTTTGCATTTTGTAATGTTCTCTATCTCCTATCTGGTCATGAATTCTTCTGTTCTCCATAAATATGATAGGTAAACTATTCCTTGCTCTTCCAGTTTGTTTAAGTATTATCTTTTATATCCAAATCATGAGCCTGTTTTGAATTTATTTTAGAATATAGTGTGAGATTTTGGTCTATGCCTCCCGTTTCCAATTTTCCCAGCAATTTTTGTCAATAGTGAGTTCTTATCCCAGAAGATGGGGTCTTTGGGTGTATCAAATAATAGATTACTATAGTCATTATTTTCTTCAAAAAAAGTTTTTTCCCTTTATTTTCTTCTTGAATTCTTTTATTTTTCCTCTTATTCTAAATTGCCATTAACTGATTTGAGGTGTTTTTAATTATTTATCCCTCTTCTAGTCTCTATATAGTTGATGGACCTAAAATTATGAATGTCTCTATTTTGAACAGCCTCTTCTAACACACTGCTGTTTTATTTCCTTGTAGATCTTAGCCCTCTATTCTTTTTTTTATGAGTCACTGTTAAAGTTGTCAATTCATTCAAGTTATACATGATAGTAGGATGAGCACATGATAGAAAATTTACTGAATCTTTTATTATGTGTTTCAACTTTACTCCTTGTCATTGTCATGATTCTTTTCTTTCCTATTTGTCATGATGATAATGATGATGAAGGGGAGAAGAAGGAAGAGGGTGGTGGTGGCAGTGATGCTGCTGAAAACAAATGATAATAATGAAAATACGTTCTCTTCAGGAACAGATATTGTCCACAAGTTACAGAAAATAGCATTAAAATTCCAGGCAAAAACATTAAAGGAATAATTGTAGTAATTAAGAAAAGTTCTCAGTATCTGATATTTATATAGCCCCTTTCCCTTATATTTGAAGGTATTTCTCCTTGTTGGTTCTCAAATTTGCTTATTGTCATGGGAATTTGAAAATTTAACCATTATTTATCTTGAGTTTGCAGCATTAGGTGTGTTTTTCTTTTCTGTGTGTGTGTGTGTGTGTGTGTGTGTGTGTGTGTGTGTTGTTTTGTTTTCTCTTGATGAGATCTCTGGATGTTTTTGATTTCTAATTTATTTTATGGGTTAAGACACACTGCATAATTTCATGATTATGTTGTTCAGTTTTTGGTCTGTCATATTCTTCTGGTAGACCTAATATCTAAAAGTTGCATCTCCGCTTTCTGATTTTGAAATCAGTATCTTTTGATTGTATAGAGATCATGTTTTCTGTTCATATTATTTCATCAATGCTGAAAAGGTCCTTAATTCTCTGTATTTGTATTTCTGATCAGTTTTTCTATTTGGGATGGGTAAAATATGGCACTGGGAGCTCAGGTTTTCTATGTTGCCAATAATTTCAGTCATTAAGAAAATTAATTCAACTTCCATGATTCTTGTTTGTCCCTTGATTTAGAAACATGTTGCTGTAGTTAAATGCTCTCTTAAAAACTCATTGTCCTCTGGCTCATGAGATATTGAATGATACAATTTTTCTTGCAATATTTATTTGGTGATGTTGAATTCATTAGTTCACAAGGAGACCATCTTCCCTTAGTTTTCAAATGTTTTCCTGTTGTTTTATATGCTTATGCTGCAGGGTTTTAATGGAGTTTTCTTCTTCCTGAGATTTTTGGTTGATTTAGACTGTTCTTACATTCTCCTTTCACTCATTTTCTGATTTGTTCCCATTTTGTTGTGAATCGCCTGAGGGTTGGACCTCAAAGTACATTCTCTCCTCTCACACTAGGGAATTCAATTTTCACCACCAGTCTGTGCCCTAAGGAACTTTTAGAAAGGGGAAAACAGAACTTGACCCAGATCAATGTCAGCTCCCTTTCTTTTAAGCCTATAGATAACAATTTTCCAGTCCTCAGGCCCCCACATGTCATGAAAAATCAGAGTATGTTTTCCTATCAGAGTTTCCTCTTTGCTGTATTTCCCTTGATGAGCACTGCTGCACAAAAGTAAGTATACTACCATCCCAGACACAGAAAACATTTGCTTTCCTGTACCTCATCTTCCTCTGCCCAGAGTACGTGTATGGGTGATGATGGGGAGTTGAGAAGGCAGAGAGTTAAGTTCTATGACTTGCCAATTCAAATATGTGGATGAGGAATATAGGGGTAGAGCCAAAATTGTAGATTAGAGAAAACAACTGAGATGAACTCTCTCAGATGTTTTCCATAGTCCCAATATAATATTTAAGGTACACATGTCACTAACATGGTGAATATCCATGCTGGAAAGGGCATTGTAAACAACCTTGTTATGCAACCTACCTTGTAGGAAATTCTCATTAGAATAATATATCTGTATTTCCTGGATTTCTTGTCACAGTAAAATTCCCTCCCAATCTGTTTTTATTTGTTTAGTTGATTGTTTTTACCTTGGAAAATCCTTCTGCCTTGCTAGCCACTGGCTCAGATATGTGAATTTCTTCCAGGTACTTCATTTGTGTCCAAACAATCCATGCTTCCTTGCCCTCTCAGTCTTGTTTCTGACTCTATAAGATTTCATATCATACCACCAAGAAGGGTAACATCTTCCCTTTATTTTGATGCTACACCAATTTCTACTTATCAGCTCCTTTTTGTGTTCTCTTTCATGATTATAATGTAATACTTTGAAAGGAAGAATTGTCATTCCTTTGCTAGCATATGTGTGCCTAGGGCTTAGCACAGTGTTTACCAAGCTCGTTGACTACCTCTCACGATAACATACATATTTCCAGGGACATTATTGTGTTCATAACCAAGAAATAATTTATCTGTGAGAAGACTTTAAAAAAAACTGAGCTCTTTCAGAACTGGAAGGGCCAAAGTTTCTAAAATACTAGCAATAATACATTGGAAATACTCAATGTGTGAAAGTGTGGTGGGATTTCTCAGAATTGGAAGGGATCGTAGGTGGCCTTTGCTAGTCCAGAAGTCCAGCTTGAGGAATTCTATTTCTTTGTGCCTGTGATAATAAGGATTGGCTGAACTTGAAATATTAAAAATGTTTTATTCCCTGTAGATATGGACCAGTGCATCAAGTGTCCTGAAGATGAATATTCAAACAAGGAGAGAACTCGCTGCCTTCACAAAATGGTGAAATTTCTGGCCTATGAGGAACCCCTGGGCATGACTCTGACCTACACAGCTCTGACCTTCTTTCTCCTGACAGTTATGATCACTGGGGTCTTTGTGAAGCATCAGGACACCCCCATAGTGAAAGCCAATAATCGAACTCTGAGCTTCCTCTTGCTTCTCTCTTTAAGCCAGTGCTTCCTATCTTCATTGCTCTTCATTGGGAAGCCTACCTCAACCACTTGTCTCCTTCAACAGACAATATTTGGAATCACATTCACAATGGCCATCTCCTCCATTCTGGCCAAAACAATCACAGTAGTTCTAGCTTTCAAAGCCACAAGACCAGGGAGCAGGAGTAGAAAATGGGTGGGCTCCAGAGCACCAATTTCTATTATTCTTAACTGCTGCCTGATCCAGGTGATTCTCTGTGGTATCTGGCTCTTGGTTTCTCCTCCATTCCCAGATGCTGACTCACACTCTGAACCTGAACACATCATTCTTAAGTGCAATGAGGGCTCTCTCATTGCCTTCTACTTTGTCCTGGGCTACATGGGATTGCTGGCTTTGGGGAGCTTCACTGTGGCTTTTTTGGCTAGAAATTTGCCTGACACCTTCGATGAAGCCAAGTTTATCACCTTTAGCATGCTGGTATTCTGCAGTGTCTGGGTGTCCTTCCTCCCCACATACCAGAGCACCAAGGGGAAAATTATGGTAGCTGTAGAAGTCTTCTCCATCTTGAGCTCTAGTGCTGGCTTACTGAGCTGCATCTTTATTCCCAAGTGCTATGTGATCCTTCTGAGGCCACAGTGGAACACTCAGGAATGGGTAAATCATAAATCCTATGCCAGGGGAAAACATCATTCTAAAGCATTCCCTCATGCCTCCTAGCAATGCTATGAGATGCCTAAAAAATTCCCCAAATCCTACTTGATGTCTAATATCTGCTCATACATGAGTCTCTATAATCTCTTCATTTGATCAAGCACTTTTTTACTCTTCCCCTGCCTCTATTGTTACCAGCACCTGTGAGCCAACTACTGCATGAATTTCTAAATTATTTTTTTATTTTAACTTCTATATTCATTATCCATTTAAAACAATATATTTCTGCCAATCATCCTATTTTTTCTACAAGCACTGGTCTTTCGACCTCTTTCTTCAGCAGTCATTCAAATCCTGACTTTAATCAAATTACACTAGATTACTGATGGGCACAATCTTTTTTTCATTTGAAGATCTGTTTCGGGATATGATTGGTAGATTCTTTCAATTTCTATTTTACTCTCTGTTTCTAAAATATCAGGACAATTTTCCTTGATAACTTCTTGAAAGATAATGTCTGAGCTCTTTTTTTTATTATGACTTTCAGGGAGTTTTATAATTTTTAGATTATCTCTTTGGATCTATTTACAGGTCAATTTTTGTCCATTGAGATATTTTACATTGTTTTCTATTTTTTCATCCATTTGATTTTGTTTTATGATTTCTTGATTGATTATAAAGTCATTAGCTTCCATTTCTTCCATTCTAATTTTTAAGGATTTTTCTTTTCTTCAGTGAGCTTTTGGATCTCCTTTTCCATTGGACCTATTCTGCTTTTTAATATATTCTTCTCTTCATTGGCTTTTTGAACCTTTTACCCTTTGGCCTAGCCTGTTTTTAAGGTGTTATTTTCTTCAGTATCTTTTGTGTCTGCTTTGCCAAGCTGTTGACTCATTTTTCATGATTTTCTTATGTCACTCTCATTTTTCTTCCCAACTTTCCCTCTACTTCTCTCACTTGATTTTGTGTAGCTATTTTCAGGGATCCTTGCAGGGACCTACAAGTTTGCAGTTCTTCCAAGGTGTTATGATCTAAGGAGAGATGTTTAGTCCTCTCCTGGCCTGTGCTTTGGTCTGTGAGTGGCCACAAGCACTTTATTCTGCACTGGAACTGTGAGGGGTGTCCCCTGTCAACTGTTGTTGTACACTCTACTATGCTTTTACCCCTCCTCACCCCAAGACTGTGATTGTGATCAAGAATGGGCAAAGCAACACAGTCCTGCCTCAGTGCTAGCAGATTGACTCCTGTATTCTCCTGACCAGTTGTGTGATATCCTTATCATCTATGGGCTGAGAACTACAGAAGCAGCTGCTGCTGGTTCCGCTGTTACTGCCTCTGGTAATTCAATCACTCCCAAGGACTACTCCTTGTTTACTGAGGCCAGGGTTGTGCTGGTGTGGCCTGCCCTGGATTGCTCTCCTCTCTCACCCAGGTCTGACAGACATTTCCTGCTAACCTTCTATGTTGTCTTTGTCCTCCATGGGCAGAGAGGGCTGGAAACTGCCACTGCTGCCATTGATTCAGTCACCCCAAGGCCTGCTGTGGATTTGCTGGGAGTCCAGTCTGCACTAGATGGCCTCTGCTGGACTGTACCCCTTTCTCATGCTGGTGCAACAGTCATTTCCTTTCCATCTTTCAGTTTGTCTTGGGTTTTAGATTTGTTTCACTCTGTCCTTTTGTGGGTTCTACTGCTCTAGAATTTGTTTAGAGTCATTTTTAAAGGTATTTGGAAGAGTTTGAGGGAGAGCTCAGGTGAGACCCTGCCTTTACTTATTTATCTTGTCTCCACACTATAATTTTTACTATATTATTGGTGTAAGCATTTTCAAGAAAGATTAGTTCCTCTTGTGTGAGGGTTATTGAACCCTTTTCAGTGCTGCATTCTGCTTTTGGTGGCCACTTGATTCATACAACTCTCATTTGTGGCTCCAAGAAGCTATAGCATGTGCAGGGGTTATACCCCAGTAAACATTTCAGCAATAGGGCTAAACCAGGCAAAGGGTAAATGAGGAGTCCCAAGCCTGTTGGTGAGTTAAGGTAGTATCTACCCCAAATGTGTAAAGACTTCACCCAATGGGTTGCGTAGATGAGAACAATTTGATCCAATGGCCATGAAGGCATCTGATGCAGGTGATGTGGTGTGCTTAGAGCGGGGTGAGATATCAAAGACACCAAGGTCATCCACACTATTTTGAGCCATCACCAGTCTTCTTGTCTTTTGTCTTGCCACTGGACTTTGATGACTCTGGAAAAGAGACTGAAGCAGATGACCTCAGGCAACTCTGCCTCACCTAAATCCAGTTTATGCAAGAGTCAAAATGTATCTCCCATAACATTTTGCTATTTTTCCCTATCTCAAAGTCCTGTGGTGAAGAATAATTGATGTAGCAGCAGATGTGGATATACTGGGACTTATAGTTACAACCATGAACACAATGAATCGGGGCCAGGATCATCTTCTCACTGGACTGAAGCAGCAATGGGATTCAACAAACCACTGGGTGTCTGAGCAGCTTCTTCGAAGGGCCACGATACTCACTTCCTGGCAAGAGGAAGCAGCTAGAAAGGTAGAAAGATGCTCTAAAAACTGTCTGTTCCACCCGGTCATGATCTGCTTACTGGAGCAGGCAGAGAACTCACTTTGTAGTCAAACCTCTCCCTTCCAAATGTACAAAAACCATTTGTGAAGGTGATTCCACTCATCATCACTACATAAATTTTGAACAAATAGAAATGTTCATGAATTTCATTCATAAGAATGACAATAATGAGACTGCTGTGGTTTCATGATTTGTTATGGCAGAACCATCTCAAAGAATTCAGAGTCAGACCACCTCTAATCTAAGTATAGGTATCTGTTGAGATTGATGCCTCCCATGAAGTGGGCTAAGGTCTAAGAGGAACCAGTCACTTCAGAGAAAGGAAGATGGATTTGTATAGGGTAAAGATGCAAGTACATAACAGAAATTATGAAAATTCAAAAGGCAGTAGGGGTTACAGAAATTATGAAAATTCAAAAGGCAGTAGGGGTTTGTTAAGGGATTATGTATTAGGAGTTCCAGGCTCAGTGAAGTGTGCATGGGATTACCCACACTGCATATAGAAAAACCTATTTGGGGGGTATGTATAATAATGATATTATAATAAACCTCTCTATGTCATAAATTCACCTAAATGACAGCTTTTGCTACTACTGAGCAAGTGCCTACCTAGGAAAAGTCCCTTCTATTGTTTAGGGCTCTACACCCTGCTAGAGCATCTTGGTGGTGCTGCTTTCTGATTGGCTGACTATTATGGTCCTGTCTGAGATAAGATGGATGTGGATGTGGTTGAGTGCATGGACATATCTGCTGTTTCTTTGGGAAATAGGAGGACTAGGTCTGGGGGCAGTGGCTAGCTAGAGGTGATGGCTGGGATCCCATCACTTGAACATGCCTGTTGTTCTGTAAGAAATATAGGTTCATGGACACAACTGTTGCTCTGGTGAGCAGTGAGGTATATATGGGGAAGTTAGGATATTGATCTGAGAGGAGGGAGGGGCTAAGTAGGGGCAGTGAGCTTGCTGTTTAGTGGGGCCTACAGGGAAATTAGAATATTGGTACTTGGGGCAACATTATTAGGATTCCATCAAGACAGCATTTCAAAACTCCTGGGATGCAGCAAAAGGAGAAATGAGATGAAAATTTATATCTCAAAATGTTTATAGCAATAAAATAGAAAAAGAACAAATTAGTGAATTGGGTGCACAATAAAAGGAAACTAGAAAAAGAACAAATTAAAAATCCCCATTTAAACACTGAATTGGAAATCTTAAAAATTAAAAGTGAGACTAATAAAATTGAGTGTAATAAAGCCATTGAATTAATAAAGAGAAATGATGTGGTTTGGGGTTTCTGGGAACCCTGAAATTTCAGGGTACAGCTTTCACCTGGAATGAATTCATGCACTCCATCCTCCTTCCAGTCAAGTGACAAGGTTTAATGCCATGGCAATAGGAGCCAGCAGAGTTCCTAGGGCACCTGTAGTTTAAAGGGCTGAGACTGATGCTTATATACCAAAAGGACAATGAAAGGAATCTGGATGGGATTAAGGAATGGAAATTACTCTAGGGTGTGCCAGGTACAGTGGAGAAAGGAATATTAAGTAGTCTGGGGAAGGCCAAGAGCAACATTGAAAGGACTATGGAGTAAAAGCTAATTAAGTGATCTAGGTGGGCTGGAGTAGGCCAGATACCTTGTGCACAGTTACCAGTGATCTGGGTTGCCGAAATGTATGGGAAACTGTAGGGACTGGGTGGCTTTCAAAGACATGGTGTTTTCCTTTTAGGAGTCAAAGTCTTATCACCCCACCAGAAGTAGGAGTTGGTTTTATGAAAAAGAAACAATAAAATAGATAAGCTGTTGGTTAATAGGATTTTTTAAAAGTGGGAAAAAATCACATCACTGATAACAAAAATGTTTTATTTTTATTGTACTGTTATTGAAATGCTTGTTTTATTCCATAAATGAAAACAAAACAAAACAAAGTCATTGAGAATTAGATAATAAAAATCTGTCAATAAAGACTCATACATTGGACTCTTAAAAATGAACAAGGAGTTTATCTCAAAAGTGTTGAAAAATATAAAATATAAAAGTGTATTTCTCTTCCAACCCTCCACCTTCTCAACTAAGAAACTTGCTTCATATATTACTTTAAAAATTGAGGCCATTCACTTAGATCTCCCTCTTCTCCCTTTCTTCCCATCTCACATCACTCAGAGTCTGTCATTATTTCTTCCTTCAATCTTGTCTTGCAAAATGAAATGGCCTTTCTCTTGGCCAAGGCAAATCCTTGTACACACCCAAATGATCTTGATGGAGATGGGACCTGGACCCTAAAAACCCCTGAAACTTGCCCACACAACCCAGCCCCTGAACCCAAATCTTTCCTTGGAGGAATCACCCATCCCAGATTGTCCTTTCATTGTGGCCCCATGCCCAACCCTTCATTCTTGTTACCCCTGACCCAGCCCAACCTTCAATTCTCTGTTACCTCTAGACTACCCCAGTCTATTCCCACCTTTA